GGGTATGAGGACGTGTTACAATTGCACGATCGATTGTGTTCTCTGATCGATCGCCGATCGATCGCACTGGTAACCAGCATGACGTCAGCCTACAATTTTGCTAAGGTTCCCATTTTACTGCCTTATGTAACAGAGTTTGTCGGTGTGCTTGCGTCGGTAGTCGATCTGTGTTAGGCCCGCTGGCCTAAGTCCGCTAAAGAATTAGCGGGGTCGACTAAGTCGAGGATAAACGCGGCGGAAGACTTTGGCGAAAGAAAGTGTTGGCGAAATAGGCGAAGGAATTGCTGAGTGATTGGAATGCGAATTCGTTGATATGAGGGAATACAAGCAAGGTTCATGTAGCATGCAAGAAGGAAGGTTGGAAAGTAGAATGTGGGACTAGGAATTGGAAAGCAAAGAAAGTAAAGTGCCACGTGGCACTAGGAAATCTAAGAAGATAGGGATAAGGGTGAGTTGGAAAGTACTGTTCAAAGTGAACAGTAAATCCTCCCTTAACACTACCCCCCTCCCAAGGAGGCGACGTCCGCGGCGCCTGCAGACTGAAGGTACGCTCGGAGGCAAGCGTTGTCGGGAGACAGCGAGGACGAAGGAACCCAGCTGTCGTCGGCTGCATCGTAACCACGCCAACGAACCAAGAAGTCGATGAAAGAGACACCCCCCTGGAGACGGCGACGGTGCCTGAGGATGCGCTGGATCTGGTAGTCGGGCTCGTCGGTGTCAACAGCTACCGGCAGTGGAGTGCGATCACGACCCGAGAAGGTGGCGTTGGGATCGGTGTAAGGCCGAAGGAGAGACACGTGGAATGATGGGTGCATGCAAAATGAGCGGGAAGGTGAAGGTGGTATGCGACTGGACCAAGTGCGCGCTCAATGACAAATGGACCAATGAAGCGTGGGCGAAGCTTGCTGTCCTGTGGCAGTCGGAGGTTGCGGCTATCCAAGAGAAGACGGTCGCCAACTACGAACGACACCTCACGATGACTGCGGTTGGTGGTGCGTGCCATGCGTGCATTTGCAAGCTCAAGGTGCTTCCTCACGTGGTCGTGAATGAAGGTGAGGTGCTGGTGGAAGTTATCAGCACGTGGGACTGTGGGTGTGAGATCGACTCTAGTGGGGACATTTGGGTGCTGACTATACAGTGCGAAGAACGGTGACATGCCTGTGGCGGAGTGGTGCGTGTTGTTGTAGGCGAACTTTGCCATGCTCAGCTTCTTGTCCCATGCTGCTGCGTCGTGCATCGTGATGCTGCGAAGGATCTGCTCCAAGGTCTGGTTCACGCGCTCAGTCTATCCGCCTGTCTCTAGATGGTACGCAGACGACATGGCTAAGCGAGTTTCAAACAGTGCAAAAAGCTGCTTCCAGAACTTCGAGGTTAGGGTCGCGGTCGGAAATGATGGAATCTGGAACCCCGTGCAGTCGGACTACGTTATCTACGAACAGCGTCGCGGCTTCCTCTGCTGTGACCTGGCCGTGCGTGGGGATGAAGTGCGCTGCTCGAGAGAACTTGTCCACTACCACGAAGATGGCGTCGTGACCCTGGCGTCGTAACCCCTAACTGTGCACGGTAATGTTATGATGAAGTCTATCGTAACTACCTGCCAGGAGCGGTCGGGCGGTGGAATCGGCTGCAAAAGTCCTGCTTTACGTTGGCGAGAGGACTTCGTACATTGACATGTGTCGCACGAGCGAATGTAATCCTCTACGTCTGCTGCAAGCCCTGGCCAGTAGTACGTGCGCCTAAGAGTCTTAGCCGTCTTATCTGCTCCGAAGTGCCCTGCGCTAACTACATCGTGTGCCTCGGAAATGAGGAGCTGTCGAAGAGGGTGGTAGGCTGAAACCCAAATCTGTGTGGTACCCTTCCGTATGTAAACACTACCCTGCACCTCTGCTCCTGCGGGCGGTTGCGGTGTGAAGTCGGGATCTACTGTGTAACCGTGCTCGAAAAGTGTTGTGAGAAGTGGATGGCCGGAAGTGACTGTGAGGCTGGCGAGCTGGCAACTTGTGAGAGTACGACGGCTTATGCTGGCTTTGCTAGCTTGCCTGGACTTTATTATGTTATTACTAGCTTAGCTTTATTTTATCTTGCATGCTTTTGCTTGATTTCCTAGGTTCGTTGCTTTTACTATATTATTATAGTTTTAGGCACCGAACTAGGTTGAGTGCACCGAATTCTAGGCTTTTCGGTTGCCACCGAATTGCCTTCTACCGAATTCGGGAAGGACCCGTTCGGGACGCTTCGCGACCTGCGGAACCTTCTAGTAACACCTGGGTTACTGCCTTTGTGTCGAGCCTATATATAGCCTCGCCTTGTACCCAGGTGATTCATTCAATAGAATCATCTTTCCTGAACCAGATCCTCACACTTGGTAATCAGAGCGGGTTTACACGCGAGGTCTTCAACCGCGTAGTTCCGGCCTTTAAAAACCGCGGGGGCGACGACGAAGGCGTCGATATGGGTATGTAAAACCAGTTCCGCGCCTCCTCGATTCGGTTTTCGAACACCCCTCAGATTTACTGGTGGAAAGGTTGGAGTTTCGACCGTTCGATTGATTTTCATCTCAACGGCCCAGAGAATTTCGCCCCAAAAAGTTGGAATTTGGAGCGTCGGATCGAGTTTCTTCTCAACGGCCGAGATCGAACGCGAATTTCATTTAAGGGAGATTTGCGCGACTTTCAGAATTCGCGCTCGTCAATTTTACAGTCGATTCGACTCGCAGTAAGTCGACCAGCACCCGTAAATCAATTTGTTTCGTCGCGCTTCTTTCTGTAAATCGCCAAATAGAGGGAAAAAAGAGATATTTCAGTACATAAAATAGCGGAGTTACGTGCCGAGCATAAGTAGATATGTGCGGCGCTCCCACGACTCGAGAAACTCCTTGCAAACCAGTCGGCAACCGCCACAGCAGCAGCGAATGCAGCAGCGACAGCAGCAGCAGCAGCGGCGACCTCGACAATTCTATCTTCGAGAACGGCAGCAGCTACAGTTAATCTCGAAGCAGTGAAGCTGAGGCTACCGGAGGCGTTCGATCCCATACATAAAGGGAACGACGTTCGTCGAGTTGTAGCTGAACTCGAAATTTACTTCGAAGCCGTTGGATGCACGACCCCGACAGAAGACGCAATGCGCATACGGCTCGCAGCAACACTGTTACAAGGCCCAGCTCTAGAGTGGATCAACAACAGAATAGTCCAAGGCGAAGGGACGTGGGCGCAGTTTTGGGCAGCACTGATCGAACAGTTCGACACGTTGAACAGTAGCTACTACGGAACACGACGCAACAAGCCAACTAGTGGCATGGGGCGATTGGCACCACCCACGACTGCTGAACCGATGGAGAACGACGAGGGCGATGTGGAGCAGCGGCTAGCAAAAACTGAGACGTACAAATTTTGCGGCGCTACAGGACATCGTATCTTGGCGTGTTGGGAAATGAAGGGAAGGCGTGCGGAGCTGAGATACAAGAACAGTGCGGCACCCCCGAAGCAGAAAACGGACAACGTGGCAACTTCGGAGAGGGCGAAAAAAGGATGGCGCGAGTTTAAAACGTCACGACCAGCCGGCACCAGGGGAAATTGTTAAATTGTAATGTGTTATATGTTGGTAGGCTGTAGTGGGGTAGCCAATATGGGGTACAACCCCAACTAGGGTTTCATATTTGTACCCAAACTTCTGTTAGTTCATTCATTCTTGGCTAGTTATTCTGATATGGTATTCAGAGCAGGAGGTCCCTAGGACCTACCGACCGTTTTTTTTTTTTAAGGGCCCACCACCGCTCGCATGCGGTTACCACGCTACCCCGTGCCCTAGCCTCGTAGCGCCCTCGTGCGCCCTCGTTAGCGCCCTCGCGCGCCCCTCGTTAGCGCCCTCGCGCGCACCCTCGTTAGCGCCCTCGCGCGCCCCTCGTTAGCGCCCTCGCGCGCCCCTTGCTAGCGCCCTCGCGCGCCCCTCACTAGCGCCCTCGCGCGCCCCTTGCAGTGTCGCCCGCCCGCCGAGCCGCCCGCTCGCAGCCCGCCCGCTCGCTGCCCGCTTCGCGGCCCGCCCGCTTCGCAGCCCGCTCGCCCCGCTGCCCGCTTCGCAGCCCGCCCGCCCGCTCGCTGCCCGCTTCGCGGCCCGCCCGCTTCGCAGCCCGCCCGCCCGCTCGCTGCCCGCTTCGCGGCCCGCTCGCTACGCAGCCCGCCCGCCCCGCTGCCCGCTTCGCAGCCCGCCCGCCCGCTCGCTGCCCGCTTCGCGGCCCGCCCGCTTCGCAGCCCGCTCGCTCGCTGCCCGCTTCGCGGCCCGCCCGCTTCGCAGCCCGCCCGCCCGCTCGCTGCCCGCTTCGCGGCCCGCCCGCTTCGCAGCCCGCTCGCCCCGCTGCCCGCTTCGCAGCCCGCCCGCCCGCTCGCTGCCCGCTTCGCGGCCCGCCCGCTTCGCTGCCCGCTCGCAGCGCCGCCCGCCCGCCCGCTACCTGCTTCGCAGCGTCGCCCGCTCGCCCGCTGCCCGCTTCGCAGCGTCGCCCGCTCACTTGCAGCCCGCCCGCCGCACTTCCCGCCTGCAGCGCCGCCCGCCTCGCCTGCTGCTCCCTGCCTGTGCACCGCCGCTTGCTCCTGCTGTGGCTGCTAGCTTCGCTCTAGCGCGTCCCCTCTGCTGCTGCCGCTGCTCTGCTGTGCCCTCACGCCTGAGCTATGGCCTCTATTCGTGTTCTTTCCTTCGATGCTGAGGGCCGTCCCGTGCAGTTCACTTCCTGGCTCGACGACCTGCAGTTGTATCTTATGAGCAATAGCACGGACCACATCTCCCTCTATGACTACGCGTCTGGTGCTGCCGCTGCTCCTGCTGCCACAGCCGAGCTTAGTGTTCGTTCCCACTGGCAGACTCGTGACGCAGCTGCTCGCCTAGCCATTCGCAGTCACCTGCCGCTAGCTGAGCTCGAGCATTTTGGCGACTGCAAATCCGCTAAGGCCCTGTACGATGCTGTCGTTGCTCGCTACTCCTCGCCTGCCACAGCCGAGCTTAGCCGCCTCATGCTGCCGTACCTGTTCCCCGATCTGTCCACCTTTGCTACAGTCGCCGATCTTATCACCCACCTTCGCACTAGTGATGCTCGCCTGCGTGCCGCCCTTCCCACCGAGTTCTGCGCTAAGAACCCCCCTCCACTGTACTGGACACTCCACTTCATAGTCACCCGTCTCCCTGACACCCTCAGCTCAGTTCGAGACCACTTCCTTGCTCGCTGTCCCACTGAGCTCACAGTCACCCTCCTAGAGGAGCAGCTGCTCGCGGCCGAAAAGAGCATTGTAGCTGTCGGTGCTGCTCGTGGCGCTCCTCGCACCCCCATCTTTGAGGGGTGTTCTCCCTCTCCCCTCGCTCCCTCCTACGCTGCTGCTGCTGCTGTTGACTTCCTTGGTGCTGAGTCTGTTGGCGCTGCTTCTGCTCCTGGTGGGAGGCGCCGCACCGGCAAGGGCAAGGGGGGCAAGGGTGGTGGTGGTGGCGCTGGGGGGGGAGGAGGTGGGGGAGGTGGGGGGGGAGGCGGTGCTGGAGGGAGCGGTGGCGGGAGCGCTGGTGGGAGTGGGGTCGGTGGTGGAGGCGGGGGCGGCGGAGGAAGCAGTGGCAGTAGTGGCGGCGGCGGCGGTGGCGGCGGTGGCGGTGGTGGCGGTGGTGGCGGTGGTGGCGGTGGCGGTCGGAGCGGTGGTAGTGGTGGCGGCGGAGGTCGGAGTGGAGGCACTGGCTCGGGCCAGAGCTCCCAGCAGCAGCAGCGTCCCCAGACGACCCAGCAGCTTCGTGAGTGGCTTGCTCAGCGTGGGACGTCGGGGGGCAGTGGCCGCTGTTCTTATGTCATTCGCACAGGTGACCGCAAGGGACAGACGTGTGGGAGGTTCCACACCCCGTACCGCTGCTTCTCCCGCCTTGACGACGCTTGGCGTGAGGAGATGGGTGCGGATGTTGAGCGCCCCCGCTGGGCTGAGCTCATGAGGGCTGGTGTTGATGTCTTTGCTCTTGACTTTGATGCTATTATTGCTGCCATGTATGCATTGACTGTTAGTGCCGAGGGAGACTGTTACTTGTGTGTGCCGCCTGACCCAGGTATAGAGCCCGCTGCCCTGGGTACTAGTGAGTCTGCTCTCTCTGGTATGGTGCCCCCTGTACTTGCTCCCTCCAGTGCTGTCCCGGCTGTTTTCGAGTCTGCTCTCTCAGGTACAGCACCCACAGAGACTGCTCTCTCAGGTACCGCACCGGCTGAGGCCTGTCACACCTTCACCCTTGACTCAGGTGCTTCCCGTTGCTTCTTTCGTGACAGTACTGAGCTCACACCGCTTCCTGCACCGGTCCCAGTCTCCTTGGCTGACCCCTCTGGGGGCCCAGTCCTTGCCCAGTCCACCACTGTCCTCCCTTGTCCGGCGGTTCCGTCTGGCTCGTTGTCGGGTTTCCACCTCCCCTCGTTCTCGACGAACCTGGTGAGCAACGCTGTCCTCCAGGATCAGTGGGTTGACACCTTTACCCCTGGCGGACAGCGTGTGGCGATCTGCACGTGCTCCAGGACCGGCCGTCACCTGGCTACGTTTACCCGTCGGCCGGGGTCGAGTCTCTACACACTGACCACTGCGTCTCCTCAGGTCGCTGCTGTCGGTCAGGTGTCTGCGTCAGGTCTGGTAGCCCACGCCTGTGAGTGTCGTTCCCTGTCGCACCAGACTCTTCTCTGGCACCACCGCCTGGGTCACCCCTCCTTGCCACGCCTTCGTGGCATGCACCGTCGCCACCTTGTGTCTGGTCTTCCCAGGTCCCTCCCTCCCCTCCCTGCCTCGCCTGCGCCGCCTTGCCTTCCTTGCGTCGAGGGGCGGCAGCGCGCCGCTCCTCACTCCTCCTCGTTCCCCCCGACAGAGGCTCCTCTGCAGACCCTCCACCTGGACGTGTGGGGCCCAGCCCGCGTTCGTGGTCAGGGCGGTGAGCGGTACTTTTTGCTGGTTGTCGACGACTACTCGCGTTACACCACGGTCTTCCCCTTGCGCACCAAGGGTGAGGTCCCTGCTGTTCTGATCCCTTGGATCCGCACGGTTCGTCTCCAGCTCCGCCGCCGTTTCCGGACGGATCTTCCTGTCCTGCGTCTGCACTCTGACAGAGGTGGTGAGTTTTCCTCCGATCTCTTGAGGACCTTCTGTCAGGCGGAGGGCATCGAGCAGACCTTCACGCTTCCGGACTCCCCACAGCAGAATGGGGTTGCTGAGCGCCGCATTGGCCTGGTCATGGAGGTCGCTCGTACCTCCTTGGTCCACGCGGCGGCTCCCCATTTTCTGTGGCCGTTTGCTGTCCGGTACGCCGCGCATCAGCTCAACCTCTGGCCCCGTGTCTCCTTGCCGGAGACCTCGCCCACACTGCGTTGGACGGGGGAGGTTGGCGATGCGTCGCGCTTCCGGGTGTGGGGTGCTCGTGCCCTTGTCCGCGATACGTCCGCGGACAAGCTCTCCTCCCGCACGCTTCCCTGTGTCTTCCTTGGCTTTGTCCCTGACGCGCCTGGCTGGCAGTTTTACCACCCCACCTCGCGCCGGGTCTTCGCCTCTCAGGATGTCACCTTTGACGAGTCGGTCCCTTTTTACCGTCTCTTCCCCTACCGCACTGCCCCCCTCCCTCCCCCGCCGCTTTTCCTTGCTCCTGGTCCCCCTCCGGTAGACCCCCTTCCCCCTCAGGGTCCTGCTCCTTCAGGTGTCTCTCAGGTAGACCCTCCTCCCGTCGCTGAGCCTGTCGAGTTCACAGGTGACTCAGGTGCTGCTGCGGGTGGTGCTGCTGGGAGTGCTGAGCCTGGGGGTGCTGAGCCTGGGGGTGCTGGGCCTGGGGGTGCTGGGGCTGCAGGTGCTGGGACTGAGGGTGCTGGAGCTGAGGGTACGGTGCCTGAGAGTACGGAGCCTGGGGGTGCTGAGCCTGGGGGTGCTGAGCCTGCGGGTGCGGGGCCTGGGAGTGCTGGGACTACGGGTGCTGGAGCTGAGGGTACTGTGCCTGAGAGTTTGCCGCCTGGGGGTGCTGAGCCTGGGGGTGCTGCGACTGGGGGTGCTGAGCCTGCGGGTACTGAGCCTGCGGGTACTGAGCCTGGGGGTGCTGCTACTGAGCCTACGGAGCCTCGGGTTACTGCGTCTGGGGGTGCTCCGGTTCGGGGTGCTGAGCAGTCTCTCACACCGCAGCAGCTTCGTGACTGGTACGTCCGGCGCTTTCGCCGTCCTAGTGGCTCGGCTGGAGTTGGGGGTGCTGGGGCTGCTCGTCCTGGGGGTGCTCGTACTGGGGGTACTGGAGCTGCCGGGACTGGTTGTTCTGGGAGCACTGCGACTGGAGCTGCTGGAGCTGGGGACTCTGGCACTGGCGGTGCTAGCGGAGTTGGAGCTGCCGACTCTGGGGGTGGCGCTGCTGCTGGTGCTGCGGACCCGCCTGGTGGAGCTGCTGCTGGAGCTGGGGACCCGAGCGGTGGCGCTGCTGCTGGTGCTGGGGACCCGGACGTTGGAGCTCCTGCTGGTCCTGAGGACCCGGCCGCTGGAGTCTCTTCTGCTTCTGGAGACGCTGCGCGGCCGCGACCGTACTTCGTACCGCTCCTTCAGCAGGTTCTTGGGCAGGCTCCTCCTCCTTGTCCTCCTCCCTCCGTAGAGTGTCCTCCGCCTGTCCAGCCGCAGTCACAGTTACCGCCTGCCTCGCCTCTCCCTGCTCCCTCTCCTTATACTGGTCCCACAGGAGGTCTTACAGAGCGTCGTGAGCCTGAGTCTCGTCCTGCGTCGCCTGTTCGTCCTGCTCGCACTGGTAGTCGTGTCCGTCGTGAGCGTCCTCCTCCTGTCCCAGGCACTCACTACATGACTCTGCGTCCCTCTACTGCTCCTCGGCGTGTCCCTCTACCGTCTCCTCTTGCGTCCTCTTTGCCTGCCGTTCCGGACCCTGAGTCTGACCGGTATCGCGCTGAGCACCCTACAGTCACGCGTCTCCTAGCTACTGTTGTCACTGACCCTACCTTTGAGTCCTCGGCTGCGTCTGCTCTGGTCGCTGAGTTGGTTGACTTTGCTTCTGCCTGTCGTCTAGACTACGCTGCTAGCCTTGTTGCTGAGCCTGAGTCTGCGTCTGTCTGTCCTCCGTCCGTCGGCGGTGAGTGTGCTCTTGGCACGGACGTCCTTGAGGACAGGCAGGAGGACTTTGACTCTCTTGCGGCTGCTGTACCTCATCTCGTGGCCTGGTTGCTTGCCCCTGAGGGAGACCCGGATGCGCTAGACATCCCCACTCCGCGCACTTACGCAGAGGCGATCTCGGGTCCCTACTCCTCTCAGTGGCAGACAGCCATGGACGCAGAGATGGCATCCTGGAAGTCCACAGGCACCTACGTCGACGATGTTCCCATCGTCGATGGCATGTGGATTTTCAGGGTGAAGCGGCCGCCAGGTTCTCCGCCTGTCTTCAAGGCTCGTTACGTTGCTAGAGGCTTCAGTCAGCGTCAGGGGGTCGACTTCTTCCAGACCTTCTCCCCCACCCCGAAGATGACCACTCTTCGGGTTCTGCTGCACGTTGCTGCTCAGCGTGACTACGAGCTTCACTCTCTTGACTTCAGCACAGCGTTCCTGCAGGGCAGCCTGCACGAGGAGATCTGGCTGCGCCGCCCACCTGGCTTTACTGGGTCGTTTCCTCCTGGTACCCAGTGGAGCCTCCGCCGGCCAGTCTACGGTCTCCGCCAGGCGCCACGAGAGTGGCACGACACACTGAGGACTACACTTGCGGCTCTTGGGTTCGCGCCGTCTACTGCTGACCCGTCGCTGTTTCTGCGCACAGACACGTCGCTGCCGCCGTTCTACATTCTTGTGTACGTCGACGACTTGGTCTTTGCTACTGCTGACACTGAGGCACTCGCTCGTGTGAAGTCGGAGCTGCAGAAGAGACACACCTGCACTGACCTGGGTGAACTGCGTAGCTACCTTGGCTTGCAGATCACCCGGGACAGAGCTCGCCGCACCATCACCCTGACTCAGTCACACATGGTGCAGCAGGTCCTTCAGCGCTTCGGCTTCCAGTTCTCCTCACCACAGGCCACACCTCTGGCTACCAGCCACTCGCTCTCAGCTCTACCTTCGGACGAGTCCGTAGAGCCGAGTGGCCCGTACCCAGAGCTTGTAGGCTGCCTCATGTACCTGATGACTTGCACGCGACCTGACCTCGCGTACCCTCTTAGCATCCTTGCTCGTTACGTTGCGCCTGGGAGACACAGGCGAGAGCACTGGGAGGCTGCTAAGAGGGTGCTGCGTTACTTGTGCAGTACATCAGGCATGGGGCTGGTGCTTGGAGGACGCGACAGAGTTGTCCTCACTGGTCACTCGGACGCTTCTTGGGTGGACGACCTGGCTACGCAGCGGTCGTCACAGGGTTACACCTTCAGCCTTGGCTCTGGTTCTGTCTCGTGGCGGTCCACCCGCTCTTCCTCTGTTCTCGGCTCTAGTTGTGAGGCTGAGATCTACGCCACAGCCATGGCTGCACAGGAGTTACGCTGGCTCACCTACCTGCTGACTGACTTGGGAGAGCGGCCTAGTTCTCCTCCAGTTCTGTACGGTGACAACAAGGCGGCTCTTGCCTTGTGTCAGGAGCACAGACTGGAGCACAGGACGAAGCACATTGCTCTTCGCTACTTTCTTGCTCGAGAGCTTCAGCAGCGCGGTCAGCTTCGGCTTGTGTACGTGGACTCGAAGGCCAACACTGCTGATATCTTCACCAAGGCGCTCCCGCCTAGTGATCATCAGCGGCACTGTACTTCTTTAGGCCTTGTGTCCACGTTTCCTCACTTGCTCACTGCTTGACATTCTTTGTACTGTACTTTATATATATCTTGTTGCTTGCTTGCTAGGTTTTGATCACTGTGTTGCTTGTCTTGTACTATATCTAGCACTGCATGTGAACTGGCCTTGTGGCCTTTGCTTGTGCTCGGAGTGTGGTGACGTTGTGATCCACCCTGGGCTTGCGTTGCTTTGCTGGACTGGTCTTGTGACCCTTTGTTCTCCCCCACTTTGCCTATGGAGGTGTGTTAAATTGTGATGTGTTATATGTTGGTAGGCTGTAGTGGGGTAGCCAATATGGGGTACAACCCCAACTAGGGTTTCATATTTGTACCCAAACTTCTGTTAGTTCATTCATTCTTGGCTAGTTATTCTGATAGAAATCGCCGAGACAAATGGAGACTCCGCGAAACAAGACCCTGCACCGACTGGGAAACTCCAGCCGTACACCCCGACAAGTAAGAATATTACTTCTCGTGGGTTTCAAGCCTTTATTAAGGGAGAGTCAGAAATTAAACCGGTACCGGGTAATATGGGGACCCTACTCCGGAGCGCTAACAAGGGTCGAGCGTTCCGAGGAGTTAATATTCTCTCCCAGCAGCTCTGTTTAAAGGCTCCCTGTTCCCCACAGATGAAGCCTACACAGCTGCAAAGGCCTAGGGGAAGGTTCCAGGCTCAAGAGAAGCTGTACCAGCCTCGGATAAATCCTTCTAACCCTACTCAGGTGATACCTGATATTGAAGCTGCATCTTCGAGCGCAGGACCTAGGGATGACATATTCGACGTACCCTACGATCCTATAAGCGATACCAGCTATGGCTACTCGGAGCAGCAACAGCCACTAGTACTCGAGGTGATCTGCAACGGGCGACGCCTCCAGACACTGGTGGACAGTGGTGCGTCCCACTCGGTGTGCGACCGCGGGACGTTGGAGAAAATTGAAGAATCCTCAGAAGAGACCCAGTTTACAGCAACGATGGTGGACGGTACGAAGCTTCCCATCCACGGCGAGTCAACACTGCAGCTGCAGATAGGAGCGTTAAGGTTGAAGCCGACGTTGCCGATCACGAACATCAAGGGATTAGATTTCATCTTGGGGCGTGATTTTCTGAAGCAGTTCAACCCCGAGATCGACTGGGTCAACCGGAAGGCGTGTATCTACAATAACAGGAAATGTGTGAGGCTGCGAAGGTGGACGGATACATGGGATACTCCTCATCAGCAAGCCATGGAGCAGCTACAGACAGCACTGACTACAGCGCCAGTACTCATCCTACCGAATCCAGACAGAGACCCTAAGTTCACTAGTAAGTTCTGGAGGGAACTCATGGGATTGTTGGGGACAAAGCTTGCGATGCATTCAGCGTCCCACCTGACAGACAGATAGAGCGACTCAATCAGGTGGTTGAACAGTTACTGCACACAGCTTGCAAAGACGACATCAGCCACTGGGATTCACAGTTACCGACACTTGAGTTCGCTTACAATAACGCGTCGCATGCGGCCACAGGGAAATCTCCATTCTTCCTGTGCTACGGACGGGAACCACTTACACCACAGCAGCCAACCACACCGGCACACGTCCAAGCCGCACACGACTTCGTCACCACCATGCAGCAGCTGTGGGAGAAGACTCAGCGACGTCTCACCACGATGCAGAACTCCCAGAAGCAGTATGCCGATTGCCAGCGACGTGATCACTCAGTAGCAGTCGGAGATCAGGTGCTTCTTGACACGCACAACTTGAACCTGTCTCACCTACCGTCCAAGCTCCGGCCTCGCTTCTGTGGTCCCTTTTGCGTTGAGGCGATCATGACACCAATTACATTCCGCTTGCGCTTACCTATTACTTGGAAGCTTCATAACGCTTTCCATGTTCAGCTGCTGAAACCCTACACGGACCCCAACCAGCAGTTTACGGGATGACAAATACCG